TCATGTGTTACTTGCTGTGAAACTTCATGTTTCTTTGTAATTTTTTTTTTTTTTTGGTGAAATTTACTAGCAAAGTAAATAGTTTTTACACCATATTTTTTCTCCGGTGTGCTGTTCAATGATGTGATTGTGTTCCTCAATTAAAACCTCTTTTCTTCTACACTGAAAAAATACTTTAAGATTTACTTTGAAATCAATTTCACTCAAAATTGCTAGTAAATTTCACAAATAATTACAAAGAAACATTAAGTAACACATTTGATTTTTAAATAGAAAGTCTGAAACTCATATTACTCTATTACTATTTCTCCTATTACTCCCGTACTCCTATTGTCTGTTTTATTTACAACTTTGAAACAAACATTTTTACACAACAGGTTTCCTTTCATTGCACTACCTATAAATACCAGCAGATGGCAAACTTTCCTCAATATACATATAATCTCTTAGTGCAATCCTCTTCTGAAGACTCTTGCAAAGCCAAAATGTCCTGATGTCTCTGTTTATTGTATTCCTTTTATGTGAGTTTAGTTTCGTCTAACTTTCTCTCTCATTCCCTCTTCTAGGAATTGGAAAAAACGTGATATGCGACCGGACGGCGACGCCGCTGGATGCCTTCCGCATGATGTCGGCGGCCCAGTACTACCCGAAGCTGCTCAGCATCATGGGTAACGTGCTGCGCTTCCTCCCCGCCTTCGTCCGCATGAAGGAGCTGCTGGAGGAGGGTTACGTGGGCGAGCTCCTGGTCTGCGAGGCGCAGGTTCACGGCGGGAGCCTCCTCGGGAAGAAGTACAACTGGAGCTGCGACGACCTGATGGGCGGCGGCGGGCTGCATTCGGTCGGGAGCTACATCATCGACTTGCTCACGTTTCTGACCGGCCGGCGTGCAGCGAAGGTGCACGGCTTCCTCAAGACGTTCGTCAAGCAGACGGACCACATCTGCGGGATCCGGCAGATCACCAGCGACGACTTCTGCACCTTTCAGATGGTGCTGGAAGGAGGCGCTTGCTGCACGGTTACGCTCAATTTCAACGTCCCAGGCGAGTTTCGGCAGGAGGTTGTGGTTGTAGGAACGTCCGGCAGGTTGACGGTTTGCGGGACGGATTTGTATGGACAGAAAAACGACGGCGGAAGCGGTCAGGAGCTCCTCCTCAAGGACAACACGCCTGTCGGAAACGCGTCCCTACCGGACAAGGCGTTCCGGGACATCCCGTCTCCGTATCTCACCGGGACCATCTGCATGGTTCAAGCCGTACGGCAGGCGTTTCAGGATCAGGACGACCGGCGAACGTGGGACGGCCGGCCGCTGACAATGGCCGCTACTTTTGAGGACTGTCTGTACGCGCTTTGCGTCGTGGACACGATCAAGAAGTCCAATCAGTGTGGCGAGTGGCAGAACATTGTGGTGATGACGGAGGAACCGGAAGTCAGTCCCGCGTACCTGATCAGCGAGGCCATGCGGCGCAGCCGGATGTCGCTGTATTGCTAAACGCGGCATGTGAGCAAATGGATGCATATTGAGGTCAGTGCATTCGGAGCATTTGGAAAATTGGAGAAGTACATGCAACTGAAGGAAACATGCGTTTGCGCCTCATGCATGGAGTTCAGCTTGTGTTTTAATGCGTTAAAACATCGGCTGCTTGGATTGTTTTGTGTCAAGTATGCAATAATAATGCTTTCAGATGAAAAACAGCCATGCTTTGCTGAAATGCCTTTGTACTTGTGACATGTTTGTATTTAGTGCAAAAAACAGACATGCAATCCTGCTTTCAGTTTGACTTTGGTTTGCAGGATTTTTTCAGCGTCGTCTATCTGTGAAACCCTGGCAAGGTCGTCTACCGATGCAGCATCCGTCAGCACGTGTTTAATGCAAACACGGACTCCTGCGTCAAACCATGCCTGCAATGCATGAAATCTCCATTCGCACTGTAAACTACAGGATTTTGCTGTGTGTTATGACGTCGATCTGGACAAACACAAAGAGTATCAGGTGTTTCTGCTTTGTTTGTACCGATATATTTAAAATCCCGATGTTTGTGCACGTTTTAACTGGTATCTTGATTGTTATAGCTGTAAGTGTGGCTTTATGGTCCTTTGTTTTCCACCTGTAAGATTTTGAATTGTAAATCTGCCAAATATGAAATGGCAAGCGTCACGTCATGTTAACTGTCAGTGGTTCTCAACTGGTTTTGCTTCAGGATCTGGATTTTACATTTGACATTATGTGGTGACCCAAAAGTAAACAAAGATCTCCTTCAAATCAAACGCTGAAATGCTATTATACGCTACAGGTCAAAAGTTTGGAATATGCTTTTAGTTTTCATGCTTATAAGAAGAACTATTATTAATAATTGAACACCAATAATAATATCAGAATGATTTCTGAAAGATCATGTGTGACACTGAAGACTGGAGTAATGATGCTGAAAATTCAGCTTTGCATCACAGGAATAAATTACATTTTACAGTAGATTCACATAGAAATCAGTTATTTGAAATTATAATAATATTTCACAATATTACTGTTTTTATTGTATTTTTGATCAAATAAATGCAGCTTTGGTGAGCAGAAGAAACAAAGAATATTAAAAAACGTAATATTTCAAACTTTTGACTAGTAGTGTGTATAATTTTAATATATAATAGATTAATATTAGCATGAACTTTTTAGACCTAAATATATGCAAAGTTAATAACATGATAGACTGAATAGGAAAACTATTTTGTAAATGCATAAATAGTAGCAGAAATGTTATTTATCCGTATGTGTATCTAATGTCATCTGGGTTGTATTTACTTGTACCTGGTGTAGTTTTGCTCCTGGTTTTTGGTCTTCTACCAAATGACTGATGAGTTTGTTGAAATAGTGTGGACAAATGACAGAAAGATGCATTTTCTCCTTACTATACTTGATCATAGTTGCATTTTATTTATAATTTTCCCCTCGAATTTCCAGTTGCAAAACAGTTGAGAACCGCTGCTTGAGACTGTTGCAGAGCGTTGCACTTCTTTGAGGCCCAGTAAATGCCTTTTTAAGCCTGAAAAATGTAAACCAAAATGTTTCAGACATGCTAAAGGTGCTAGAGATCTTTCAGTCTGAAGATGTATTGGTGTATATCTAGTTTAGGGGGTTTAATTCATATTTAAATGCAGTTGTCACTACCGAAACTTTGCAGTGTGTGTGTGGCTGGAGATGCCAGTTATCAAGAGTAGGAAATGATGATTAACGTACAGAAAACATTTTAAAATCAGATTTTTGAGTCCATATGTTTTGCTAAGCTCAATTCTGCAGTGTTTTATTTGTCGACTAGGATCTGTTCGCTGTATGCATGCACTGAAGACAGGTGTGTCGGCGGTCGTCCATCACTGTGCAACTTCTCCTGCGTCACGACGGCTTTATATCAGCCTCGTGACGAAAGACTGGAGAGTCCAATCATGTGGCTGTGTTTTATCCGTATTTTATGCTGCTTGGAGAAACACCTGCTGTACATTACTGGAAACATGCTCTGTGTAGTTTATAAATGGTATTTATTTCTTATTCATAGTGTTTCATATCAAATCAGGAAGTGCGTGTACTGTGAGACAGGAAATAGAGGCCTTTGCTTGTGCATTTCTACAGGAAGTGTGACGTCGCCGTTTAAAAGTCCCAAACTAAACCTGTCCCGGTTTCCCTCGCAAATGTGATTCGTCTCAGTGTCGCCGCTCTACTGAAACCAACGCTTGGTCAAAGTAATAGAAATGTGTCTTAAAGGAAAAATCATCTCTGTTGGACAAGAGAGCATTTAATATCATTCTCTCGCAGGCCTGTTTCACAACTTACACAGAAGCAGCATGTGAGTAACGCTGCTAAATTTAATATTTCTGCTAACAAGGGCCATAAATTGAGCATTTTGAGTGAGCAATTACAATGAAATGTAATTTACATGGGGAGGCAGAGCACATTTGCATAAAGAAGCCAAAGCACGTACTGTAGCTTTAAACTGCTGCAATCATCAGGATTCAGTGAAATAAAGACGGTGTGAAACAGGCTTTCTTTGTTGTTTAATATTTTGCAAGAGGTAGATTTATGTAGTGATAAAATGCTCAACATTAAAGCCACACATGGATCCATTAACATTATGAGTGTCACCATGGACATGAATAATTCAGAGTCTGAGGAGGTTAAAAGGGTCTCATTTCATAATTATGACACAAATCGAACACAGCATAAGCTACAGCATATGGAAGCCCAATTTCGCTATAAAAGAAAACAAAAAAAAAATCTTAAAAAGTGACATTTATGACAAAAAGTCGAAATTATGAGCATAAAAATTAGATACTAAGTCATAATTCTGAAATAAAAGTCAAAGTTGACATGTCAAAGTATAACAAAAAGTCAAGATACTTGAGATACTAGGTTATTATGATCATTATAAAGTCGAAATTATTACAAAGTCAATTATGAGATAATGTCAAAATTATGACTTAAAAAGTGTCATAATTTCAACTTCAGTCAATTTTTACTTTTTTAATTTCGACTTATTTTCATAATTATGACGTTTTCTCATTATGACTCTCATACTTTAGACTTAGTATGTCATCATTCAAAACTTTTGACGTAGTTCGACTATCTCATAATTTAGGCTATTTGTCATGATTTTTTTTATCTCATAATTTTGACTTGTCATAGCAATGTCTATTTAGACTTAGTATTTCATAATTTTTAATTTGTCATAATTCAAATATATCATAATTTCAACTTTTTGTCATAATTATGACTTTCTATCTCATACTTTAGACTGTCAATTTAGAATTTTTGTCAGACTATCATAATAGCTAATAGATAATAGCTTTTTTTTAGTTTTTAACTCAAATTTGACTTGTCATAATAATGACTTCTTATCTCATCATTTTGACTTAGTATGTCATAATTTAGTTTTTCCCCATAATTTTGACTCTTTATCTAATATTTTTCCCTTTTTATGTCATAATTTCAACTTTTTGTCATATCATGCCATGATTATGACTTTTATGAATTTTGAAATAAAAAATTTTTTGTATGATTATTTTTCTCATTTGACGGAAATAGCCTTCCACAGATGGTCACTTGGACCTCCAGAGATGATTTTTCTATGATGTGAGACATTAAGGCTGCAATATAAATAGGGCTTGATTTTTATTTTAAAACACATGAAACGGCTATGTTGTTGCTACATCACTGACAGCGATATAAGACTGTTTCTGTGATTGTCCGAGACTCAAGCTTCAGTGAGTCTCAGTGATGTTGAGAATGAAAGGCTCTTGTAATGTCAGTCATGAGAGGGACGTTTGCTCGTCTTCAGAGGTGTTTATCCCTGATTTAACATGGACACACTGGAGTCAAATGCAGACTACTGTAAGCTTGAACTTGCCTGTTTCTGAACAAAACTCAATGATAATTCAACTGCAAACTTGAACCTGTGAAAAAAGAAATGTTACAACTAGGGGTGTGTGATATATATCGTCTGTGATAATATCGTAATTGTTGTTTTAACGATGTGCGATTTGACATTATCGAGTATTTTGCAAAAACCATTCAAAACATCCCTACAGAGCGACAAGTCTAGACTAGTGCGTGTGCGCATTTAGTGTGTTTTCTTTCACTGCATGATTCAGTCTATTAAAATGCATTTAGAATGATCACAAATTTAAGACATGATGGCAGAAAATTTATATATTTATACCACTTCATATAGTTATTCAATGTCTAATTATCGTTATCGATAAAATCCCAGAAAATATCTAGATATAATTTTTTGTCAATATCGCACACCCCTAGTTACAACTGGAAATGTTTCAGTGTAAGATTGCGCTTGTTCTCTGTGTTTGTGAATATGTACTGTATACTCTTTCTGCTGGGCAGCATGTGCAAACACACCTGTGTGTGTGATGGAGACTGATTAAAGAAGGGATTCAGCAGAAAAACCCTGTTTGGGTCTGTTATTGTAATATATGTCCACATTTAGAGCACACTGACCATCAGTTTTGAAGTGCGTCTTATGCAATTTCATTCCCTGAAAAATCTTGTTTGGTTTCTGCTTTTTGTGCTGTGCTTTGTATATGAAGTCGGCACTGGTGGTTTTAAAGGGTGGAAGAACATTTTATTCTTTTAAAAGTCGTCTGCATGCTCCAAAGCTGTTGCAATGTTGTTTTAAATTTGTAATATTTCAGAGCAAATTCATTTCATACTGGTCTCTTCCAGAACTGGATATTTGTATTTATTATACTGCATTTGACTGATTTTGACCGTAATTAACACAGTCATTCTCATTCAAGTCCTTGAACTGCAAAATGTAGGGAGACATTTGCGAATGTTTCTTGTAATATTTGTTAAATGTTACTAGAAACCAATGTGCACCTGCTTAATAAAAGCAATAATTCTCCGGTTCCAAGGACCATGCAGATGTTTTCTAATATTTTAGTGAATTTTGAGTAACAAAATGTATTAATCCCAGTTGCTATAATGACTCTACAGCATTTCACATACACTCTAAAAAATGCTGGGTTAAATACAAGCCAGTGCTGGGTAAAATAGGGACAAACCCAGCAATTGGGCTGTTTTGACCCAGCGGTTGGGTTACTACCCAGAAGGTTGGGTTAAACATTTAACCCAACCGCTGGGCCAAAACAACCCAATTGCTGGGTTTGTCCCTATTTTACCCAGCACTGGGTTGTATTTAACCCAGCATTTTTTAGAGTGTACAGTATACTGTTATGTATAGTATAGTATAGCATTCCCATTAAGTTATGAAAAGGTTATTGACCATTCTCTGAATGTTCAAAATGTCCATTTTTTTTTAATATCTAAAAAAAAAAAATTATTGTTTATGCAAATGTTAAGAGAACATTACATTTGATCATTTTGAACACATTAGGAGAATACTACTAATGATGTCTAAATGTTTTTGTGCAAAAGTTTGGACAACATTATTAAAGACCAGATAACTTCGACTTAAAGCTCTATTAATGTTACTTTAAGAGAATATAGTTATATAAATGTTAGGACAAAACATTCTTAAAGTTAATACTTATGGAACTTTCTCATAATGTTCAGAGAAAACATTCTTAGAATGTTCTCGGAATGTTCTTATGATGTTATTTGTACTTGAAAGTTCTAAGAAATGTTTTTTTTTAATCTTTAAATAACGTTCTAATCACAACAAGAAAACTGGACTTTTAATGTTCTTAGAATATTAAAAATAAATGTTCAAATAATGTTGTTTTTTGGGTAAACAAAGTTAGTAGAATGTTGTAAGAAACGTTTTTGTAACCTTCTAAGAACACGACGTGTTTTTGAAATATTTCAAATTATGTTCCCACAACATTCTTATAAGCTACATTTGTCACTGGGTTATCGGCCCGTATCGGTGGAGCACCAAAGGAACGTCACACGAATCACACGTTTAGTTTGCAAATGCTGCCCATCTGCAGTGCTGTGTTGCCCAAATGTTAAAGGAATACTGTCCATTTTGATGCTTTATGGATGGTTTTGCATACATTTTTTGCACTATATGTATATCGTGGACGCATGGACTCTTAAATATATTTTGAAGTGATGGACGCCTATTTATCAGTCATAGACAATGTACTGTAGGCTGTTAGCAGCCTCATTTTTTCTTTTCTATATCTCTTCTATATCTTTAACTCAGTTCAGTGTTTATTACGAGCAGTTGACCTGTGAAAGCTGTGTTTGAGCATTCATGTTGTACATGTAGGATAAGAGAAATGTGTGTTTTTGTTCACATTATCCGACATGATGCCGTTCAGAAAGTCTGGAAGGAGGTCTGATTCTTTGAATAAACCAGGGCTGACAAATTCGCTTTCCTGGCTGGAGTGAGATTTTGATGGGGTGAATCAGTAGGGCTATGAGATGTATTACGTGTTCAGTCTATAGGTATGTGCATGCAGTTGGCTACACGTCACATCACTTTCACATTCACATTACGTTGTATGTGGGTTGCACCTCTTGTATCGATGCATTAATGCACTAGAGCACACGGTGGGAGTGTTCTATTATAGCAAGAGCTCAATGATGGTCATATTCTGCTTTTTTCAGCAATGAGCTGAAAATGAGCATTCAATAGTTCTCTTAAAATTGTGCTAATGATGCTTTTTTCCCCCAAATATATACTTTAAATATATTTCGAAATATTAAAAAAAAAAATGCCGAAAAAATATATTTGATACCATAAAAATATATATTGTCTACCAATAATTTTTATTTTGAAAAATACTTTTGGATATATATTTAAAAATATAAATATATTTTTGTATGTTTTCAGATATCTCAGAAGAACCTAAAAAATTTTTATAATTATATATATATATATAATTATATATATATATATATATACAGTGGGTACGGAAAGTATTGTCAATATGGGGTGCTGTGTGTACATTAATGAGGAAAAAAAATTAACTTAAATGATTTTAGCAAATGGCTGCAATATAACAAAGAGTGAAAAATTGAAGGGGGTCTGAATACTTTCCGTACCCACTGTATATATATATATATATATACACAGTGGGGGAAATACTGTAAGCAATCAACACGTCAACATTTTTTAAATTAAAACACAGTTACGATGCAGCAATCCGCATGAAGTTTTGACCAGACATTGGCATTAACTCAAGAAATATAAATATTTTGTCCTGTGTCATTTCACTTCAGTACACAACTTTTTTATGGGTTGTAATAATATATTTTTATCTGTCGATTTCTTGAGTTAATGCCAATGTCAGGTCAAATTTTCATGCAAATTGCTGCATTGCAACTGTGTTTAAAAGCAATTTGCCATGTTGAATACTTATTTCCTCCACTGTGTGTGCATATACAGTATATATATATATATTTTTTTTTTTTTTTTTTTTTTTTTTCAAAAATACACATAAATGGCCAAAGAAATATATAATATTTTACATCATTTTGCAAGTAAATGTATCTTGATTTAAGAATGTTTATATATTTGGCAAACAAGACAGAAATAGTGATTAAGAAAATCCTTTTTGCAGTGCATATTATGAGGACTTCTGGTTGTAGATGTAAATGAATATCACAAGAGAGTAATTATACTGAGAACTTGCATAAAGTAGTGAAATAAAGTGAACAAACCCATGTGTAATATCTTTACTTATAATGAAACCAATCCCCAAAATAATCTGCAGTAATCCATCATGAAAATTAAAACTGGAATTCACATGAAGCTATAGCAAATGTCTTTAAGAAAAAGGTATTCATGATGCAGTTTTGAAGATGAATTATAGCTCCCACAACTATAGCATATATCATCACACCACTCAATTTACAGTAAATGTAAATATGCAATTTGTAACAAGAACAAAAATGCCATACAGGTCGAGTGAACGCGTGAGAATCAAAGCACAAAAAACCTTCAAGAAGCTAATAGCAACCCCTTAAACCAATGCACTTTCCAAAGACATAATGATTTTTATACTGTATATTAACTGTATATTCTATACCCTCACCCTAAGCCATAACCCACACAGAATTTTTTTTGCATTTTTACAAAACCATTTAGTATGATTTATAAGCTGTTTTCCTCATGGGGACCCAAAAATGTCAGGTTTTACTTTCCCTGTGAGGACATTTGGTTCCCATAATTCAGGGGTTACCAAAAACTTATATTTCTTCTCTGCATTTCTCCTCTTCTCTCACTTGTTTCCTAATCTAGTCTAATAAACCTGGCATTGTATATTACAAATATTGTTGGCTCTTTGACAAATTCCTTTTGTTCCGCTTTGGATAAAAGCGTCTGGTAAATGCATTAATGTAAATGTAAGAAAACTAATTCAGAATTCACGAGGCATGAAATCACAAAATTTCAGTATATGTGATTTCTCCACTTAGTTATAGTAGCCCACGTCTTAGAGATTCAAAGGATGTCGTTTCTGTGAAATGGGAGTAAGAGTTAAATATAAATCATACTAATTAGTCAAAAATATTCATGACAACAAATGTGATCCAGCTGTTTTCACAAACCTAGTTTTTTCTTTAAGCTTCCAGTGGACCAAGTCTTGAAATGTTCCATTAAATTCATTTTTCAGCTGAAAGACAGAATGGAAATTTTAGTTTATTTCAGTTAATGTTTCCAGCTATTTGCACGAAGCTGTTTTAGAATGTTCCTTTTTTTTTTGTTTTTTTTTAGCATTCAAGATAAAAGGTTTAAATAAAAAATACAATACAAGTTTTTGTAATCAGTATAACAGTGCAAATGCGATAACTTTCACAATATTAAATCATTGTATTTCTTTAATCGTCATCTTTATTTCTCGTGTGCATTCATTCCGTAATAAATCTGTTCCTGTAAAGTTGCAACAAGCCTGATGTAGTCATTGAACATTTCTTCACCTTTTCAAACAGTTCATTCCGAGTTTCATTTTTGTCACAATGAAGTGCGGTTTCAGAGGAGCACAACATCATGAGGACCAGTGTCCTCTTCTCAGGCTCTGGAAATAAACAAAGACGATTTTAAACACCAGGAAATCTGTCTGCAAAAATACTCAAAATACTCCTTTTAATAACATGTTAGAATGAACTGCATAATCATGAAGCGCAATAGAAGTAAACAAAGCCAAATGTTTGCTTCATAAACAAACCAAATGTAGTCTCTTTACCTGTGTTTTCATGAGTAGTGGCTGGATCACTCGACAAATTTCCAGCCACGACACTGACATTAAACATATATTTTGTTCCTGGTCTTAAATTAGGAATGGTGAGATTTATCTCATTTGTATTTTTTCCATTAGGTTCATTCCAGAAAGGAGTGCTATAGTTCACCATATATTTAATGGAGGCACCCACTGACTCAACTGGAACTCCCCAGCTTAGCTGTATGCTAGATTTGTTAGCGGTGGCCTTTACCCAGGTAGGTTTAGCAGGCCCTGTGAAGTGATTTGTGAGATGTTATACAGCTGAACTTGAAAAGCTGATGAAGACAGTGATTTAAGCTACTGGACAAATGATCTGAAAAATAGTGATCACAGTGTAATGATTACTCACGGGTGTACTCTGACTTATTAGCAGCATCACTTCTCAGTTCACCATTAAGAGTGACAACTGAAACGGTGTAAAACACTCCTGCCTTCAGATTATTGAAAGTGTAACTACTGATTTTAGTGTTATCTCGCCGGGGATAATTGTCAAGGTATGCATCTGTTGTAATCATCACTTCAAATTGTTCATAATTCCCTCCTATTGTCCAGTTGGCATTCATGGATTTTAAGTCAGGGCTCAAAGAGAGGATCACAGTTTTGGGGCCTAGGAGAGGAGAGCAGAGAAGAACATGTAGTTTGTCAGAATTTAGTAGTAATTTAGGAAAGGCTAGAACAGTGTTGAATGCAGGCTTGAACAAAATCTAAGCAGTCATTTGGACAACACTTTGAAAAACTCCTTCAGGTGTTAATGGAAGCCGTTTCCACCATGGAATAAAAAAAATACAAAAATGATACTTTTGATCTTACAATTCAGATTCTTTCTTTTTTTTAAACTCACAATTATAAGAAAACAAGTCAGAACTCTGAGATATAAACTCGCAAATTCTACGAAAAAGTCCATTTTGAGATATAAATTTGCAATTGTGAGGAAAAAAGTATATATATAATCACAATTCTGAGTTATAAAGTCTGAATTGTGAGATAAAAATGTAAATTCTGACAAACTAGTCGGAATGGTGAGAATATACATTTTGAGTTGTTACACAAAAACTCAATTCTGAGAAAAAGGATATAAACTCACAATTCTGATATAAACTCAGAGATATACGAGATATTGTGAGATATAAACAATTCTAAATCATAAAGTCTGAATTGTAAGAAAATTCACAATTAAAAATCTCTATATTGTGAGAGATTAACTCGCAATTCAAAATTCAATTACATTTTTCATTTCAGAAAAATGTCTGAATTTTGAGATATAAATTCACACTTGCTAGAAAAAAAGCCTGAAATGTGAACTCGCAATTACCTGTTTAATTTTGTATTCCATTATGGAAACAATCTTCCATAATTGTTTGACTGTCAACTCACATTCAGTTTAGTGATGGAAATGGTCAATTAGAATTTACAGTACATGCATGATACATGAAATGCCTTTAATTTAGGGAAGGAATATAATAACTGAGAATGAGACTCACGTGTGTATGTTGAGATTACAACCACTTCTCCTGACAGGTTGTTGTTCTTTGTTAGCGCTGCCACACACAGACAAAACTTGCTGCCGTCTGATGTATTAGTCTCTCTGATAAATGTTTCTGTTCCATCCACTGTTTTGCAGTCTGTAATATTGAATTTTGCTGTCGTACTGCTGCTGTTTGTGGTAATGTTGTCGTTTGTTGTAATGCTGCTGTCTGATATGATGTTGCAGTAAGTGCAATTGTGGCTGTGTTTGACTTCTTTAAGACAATAGCGGTAAGCTGAATGATTGCCAGTAGGCGGATCCCAAAAGGCCATTATGACTGTGCTGTCATTGTCTGCTGATCTTAGGTTTCTGACAGTCGAAGGTACTGAAAAGTAAATACCAACAAAGGCAGTTAGTCTATCAAAAACATTCAAAATTAGTTGTGGTCACAGGAATGCTTGTTACTTTGACAATAGCTATGTTTCCATCCACCTGTTTTAGCCTATATGAATCTGAGGTTATTTATTTATCCAAGTTGTGCATAAATTCTTAAAAAAAAAATGCATTTTATCCGACAAGACGACATGCGTATAAACTACAATGAAAACACATTTACTGAATAAATCCCTTGATGCGCAACGGAGGATGTGATTGGATAACTGGACTAACCAGCGGACCAATCGCATCACACAGCATCTCAGATGTTGGTTGCCAAAATCAGTTTATTGCATTTCATCAGCGCACTCTCACAGCCACAAGATATTTATGATGCATGAAAGAGTGGCTTCCCCTAATGCTATTCCTGATACATGTGTTTTGCGCCAATTTTATTCTCTTCAACTAGGGTTAGGCTATTATCATTAACGGAAATCTGAAACGGAAAACTTAAAAAAAAAAAACATTTCTGTTAATTAAAAAAAAAAAATAAATAAAATATAAATATTAATTGAAAAACTTACACAAAATAAAAATGTAAATGTTGCCTTGGCAATAAAATGAAAAAAAGTTAAAGATGAAGCACTGAAATTATTAACTGGAAATAAATTTAAAACTAAAACTACCTAAAACTGAAATAAAATAAATTAAAACAATTTTTTTTTTTAAACTAATAAAATGACAATAGCACATAGCAAAATTACTAATCTGTAATTATAAATAACATAAAAAAAACTAAAAATATAAAAATAAAAGCTTGTTCAAAATATTAATAAAACTATAATAAATGCTCAAATAACATTGAACATATGGGATGGAGATGGTGCTTTATTCGCAATTGTTTTATGCGATATTTGAGTTTTGTACATAAGTGAAATTGTAAACTTAATTTATGTACTTATGTAGGTATCCCCCGAACTCTCCCACCTTGTTTCCTGTCAATATATGCTGTCCTATCCTGATAAAAATAAGAATAAAATGCCAAAAATAAATCTTAAAAAAAAAAAAAAGGAAAAAGCACAAAACAAAAATTTTTTTTACTGGAATTAACCTAAAAATAAAAAATAAAAGCTCATTTATCAATATAGCTATACTAAAACTCAAATATGATTAAAACTAAGAAACAATGCTTTATTTGGAAATGTTTACAGCTTTGGATGGATGGATGGATGGATGGATAGAGTCAAGCATGAAACTGTCTGCACTTACTGGTGTAATCAGTAACGTTGCTTGGCACACCTTCAATCGTCTTATTCACTACAGCTTTAACTGTGAATTCATACTCGGTTCCTGGAATAAGATCCGTAATAGTGCACTTTTCAGTATCACACTTTTGTTCCACATTTTTCGATGCATTTATGAACGTTACTGAGTAGAAGTCACGGTTTCCATCTGGTTTACTCCACTTGAGGTTGGCGCTAACAGTTGTCACACTCACCACTGTCAGATTTTGCACATCAGAGGGCTCTAAAAAAGGGACGGCATGGGTCATTTTGCTCATTAGTCGTGTTGAAACCATGTTGAGCACAATGAAGTCCGAGTCTACTTACGGGTGTAGAAGGAGATATTCTGCGGATTGAGATCCCTGCCACATTTCACAGGAAACACCTGAACTCTGTACAGAGTACCTGCTGTCAGATTCTGTATCTGTTCAAACAGGTCAGTCTGGTTAAATGTCTGGTTTTTGTCCCCAGTGACCTCCACTCTGTAGTGACTGATGTTCTCAGCACCGGGTCCCTCAGACCAGCTCAGATTGCCTGCGCTTGTGTTCACATCGGAAACGTATATCTGGCCAAAAAAGCGCTCTACGGACAGATAGATGCAATGACGTATATCGGCAGAAACTTACAAGTTGATTACACTCTTAAAAATAAAGGTTCAAAAAGGAGGTTTGATTTTGGGTTCCTCAAAGAACCATTCAGTGAACAGTTCTTAAAAGAGCAATTGTGACCATGGACCACAAAACCAGTCATAAGTGTCAATTTTTCAAAATTGAGATTTATACATAATCTGAAAGCTGAAATTAAAATGTACAAAAAAAAATAATTTTTTTTAAAAATATTTAAAATGTAAAAAAACATTTTTTATTATTATTTATTAATTTTAATTAATCATTTAAAAACGATTTAAAAATTAAAATTGAAGACATTTTAATATAACAGAGTTGGACATAATGCAACATTTACTTATGGCCCACAGCCCTCAACCAAGTTTGATTTTTGCATTGCTATGAAAACCTCCTTTTGGAACCTTTCTTTTTAAGATTGTCAGAGTACCAACAATATGAATCTAACAATACGATGCTGTGCTCTAAAACAAAGTCTTTGTACCTTCATAACAGATGAAGGGTAAACTTCTGTTGCAGTCGTCTTCCTTCCACATGCCGAAGCTGAGCAGGACCACACAAGCGTTCTCGATGTACTGTTCAGGATCTGGCTCGGGTTCGAAGACGCAGTTGCTGGTGGTGGTGCTCTCGGTTGTGGTGCCATTTGTTGCAGCATTAAAGGTGGTGCTAAATGTTGTGACTTTAGGGGTGGTGCTGTATGTTGTAGTATTTGGGGTAACAGTCAGTGTTCTCTTACACATATCCATGGCACTTTCAAGATCATCACATGTCATATTTAAGCAAAAAAGCATTTCGGACAGTATAGGGCATGTATCGTTTTCTTTGTTCTTTTTAAATGTTGAGGTTACCGAAGCAGTTACTGTGGAGGTTTGTGTTGAGGTCATTGGGGTAGATGTTGGGGTAGTTATTAGGGTGCTCAGTGGACTTTGTGTTGTTGAGGAACATATAGGAATTAGTTTCTTTTCTTTATTTGGAACTGGATGACCAGGGTACCAATTCTGATATGTAACAGGATCCCCATTGGACCATGCGGCCCATGGGAAGGAGCCATTGTAACTCCTGCGGAGTCCAACCCAGTAGTCCGAAGAGAAGTTCTGCACAATGAGGTGTACATTTCCGCTGGTGATGGTCGTCAGTTCTTTGAAACAGGACTGACAGTAGAGTCTGGCCTCGTCCCATGTGGCATTGGGTGACTGAGGAAAATACTGCTCCTCTGCCCAAATGACTGAGCCTGAATGTGATCATTTGAGAAACAAGTTGTCGTAATTAAAAATAATTAAAAATAATACATTCTGGTGCTCCTCATTTAGGGGTCACACTCATACTCATACTATATGTATATATATATATCTTCTCGATCCAATTGCGATTACAACGGGGTAATACAAGGGCAAACATATACAGAGTTCTGGCATGAAACTCTAGATGGTGCAGTCCGATAGGTCTAACTCAATCTGACCTAATGACATCCTTATGACATGGCACAGCTGATTGGTTTTCTCCTGTATCAGTAGCCAATGAGCTCACTTCTCAATATTCAAATACCTGGCTTTTGTTTGCTGTAGCAGTTCGCAGTGCACTTCAGAAACCCTCCACCTTCCCCAGCTCCACCTGTATAGATCTGCTACGAGGTGAATCATGTTTAATGGTTCCATGAAGAAGCGGTTACATCCACGGAAACTTTCACCAAAGGTTTGGATTCTTAAAATGTTCTTAAACTTTAAAAATGTTTCTGTTCACTGAAAGTTTTTTTATCACAAGAAAAAAATGCAAATGAAGCATATCATCATTTCTGATTTATATTTTTGCTATACATTATTTGTTCATTCTGGTGCTCCTCATTTAGGGGTCACACTCATACTCATACTATATGTATATATATATATCTTCTCGATCCAATTGCGATTACAACGGGGTAATACAAGGGCAAACATATACAGAGTTCTGGCATGAAACTCTAGATGGTGCAGTCCGATAGGTCTAACTCAATCTGACCTAATGACATCCTTATGACATGGCACAGCTGATTGGTTTTCTCCTGTATCAGTAGCCAATGAGCTCACTTCTCAATATTCAAATACCTGGCTTTTGTTTGCTGTAGCAGTTCGCAGTGCACTTCAGAAACCCTCCACCTTCCCCAGCTCCACCTGTATAGATCTGCTACGAGGTGAATCATGTATGCTATGGGGGTTATTCATATGTGTTATATGTGCAGCAGCAGTATTTCCTACATGCTCATAGCAGCATGTTGTGGATGTACTGGCAGTAGCAAGTCTCGGTACTTGCTCTGCTGCAGCAGCAGCAGTGTAGCAGATCTATTCCGCCCAGACCAAATATATTAACATTGTCATGTACATTACCATGCCAATCCCTCCGAGAATTGTCATGACAGAAAAGCAGTGTTTTTACAAGATGGAAGAATTTGATTTAATGTTTGGGTTTCAGTCGATACGACAAACTTGCGGAGTTTCTTCTTGACAGGTAAGCTAAACTTCAAGGTAAATGTAGAAATGGCTGCTTTCGAAACAATGCTTCATGAAGCTACGAACCTTTACGAATCTTTTGTTTCGAATCAGTGGTTCGGAGCGCGTATCAAACTGCCAAAGTCACATGATTTCACTAATGAGGCTTCGTTAAATCATAACCGTTTTGAAATTTCAATGGTTCACCACTGGGGGCGATGATCTCTGTGATCCCCCACCATTGAACAAGCGTCTATATAGTTATTACCTGATCTCAGATCAGTTTTACAAATTTGTAGATGTTTTAATGAAACATTTGTATAATTAAAAGGAATAATAGTATTTAATAGTCTCTTATTTTTCTGTTTAACTGAGCCATCAACAGAACAAAGACAACAAACCCTGAAAAAGAACACATATTTTATAAACACTTAATATTTCAGAGCATTAGATGATTTGTTAATTGCATTTAACACATTATACTTTCAATGAAACATTTGCAATGGGTTTGTAAAAGCTGTTTTTATGCATGTTTGGCCTGAGTTTTCGTTGCATTTACACTGTTTGACCAGCAGTACACAGTGTGTGGTGTTTCAGATGCTTCGAAACAGTGAATCATTTTGCGACACAATTAGTTCAATTGATTCGAAGCTTTGAAAAGCTTAATTTCTCCCATCATTAGTTAAACGTATTCTTAATATGTTGGACCTTTTATAGAAAGTAGTTTAATTTTAACTGTTGAGACATGCTTTCACATTTATGGACCTGAAAGAGTCTGTAATGTTTGAGTTGAGGAAGCGGGATGCGCGAAAGCATGCTTTATTTTCATAGTTCCACTAGGTGAGCACAGAAACTGCCTAACCCTTTAAAGCTTTAAAGGGGTCATCTCATGCCCATTTTGCACAAGTTGATATAATTCTTTAGGGTCTTAATTAAAAGTCCATAACATACTTTGGTTAAAATTTCTCAATGGTAGTGTAAAAAACACCTTTTTAAATCTGTCAAAATCAGCTCTGTTTTCAGCATGCGGTTCTAGTCCATGTTGCTTTAAATGCTAATGAGCTCTGCTGACCCCGCCCCTCTCTTCCGTGCAGTGACGAGCAGACTGTGAACTTCAGCCACGAAACTGGCTAACTAGTACATTATTAGGAAAGGCAATTTGCAAAGATTCATAAAAGCTTTCTGGAAGAAAGAAGCTGGAATACGAATGATTCGCGCGAACATAGACGCATTTAGGCAGATCGGGGAACGGAGCATTCACTTCAAAAGCGAAAGTAACGTTAATCCTCTGCGTCTTCAGCGGCTCAGATGTAGGGAGTAAATGATGACTGCTATATTCATTATTACATCCAACAACAAAGCTGTCCTCAATCGCTTAATCGGAGACATCTTGTCTTCCCCTGTTACACTGTTATACAGTAGGGGGCGCTTTTAATAGTACCAAGTGAATAAGAAGATCTGTGTAAACCAGAAGGAGTGGATAGAAGATTGCTTACGCACAAGTATGCTAACATGTTGATGGACTCGATCTACTCTGTCTGTGTTCTGATCATCAGCTATGAAAGAATTGTAAAAATGAGCAAAAACGTTGGAAAGATTTAATATTTTGTATTTTGAGGGAATATACAATTTTACATAAAAAAAATGTATTGATGCTGTTCACTTTATTTAAATAATTCATTTTGATTTAACACCATTGTATCAGGTTTCTCGTTTAAACATGATTGCATGTCGAAAACTCAATGTTTTCATGTTGAAGGCACATGTTTTAATCAACCTGGTCTCATAAGGTACTTTTCTGCAGCACCGTTTTTACGTACCTTACTGCACGTTTTGCCGCCATTTCAAAGAGAAATGTCCACTGAGTGGCACTTAAACACGGGTTCAATATGTGAACCCTGGCACGTTTTTATTATGTTGCTTCAGGTATGTATTGCGGCGGTTCAGAATTCAAATATCCGGGGACTGTCGCTAAAATTGAATGCTCTATCGCAGTGGTTCTCAACAGGGGGGGGCGAGAGATCGGAAGGGGGGCGCAAATGGTTTTCAAGAAAAAACTGAGACAAGACATTATTTGGGTAATCGTATTTTTTGCATTTTATTGCATTTCAAGTAGAATATACACAAATGGAAAAATGGAAAAACCCCGCTCAACTTGGAAAAAACCCCTGCTCTGCTTGAAAAAAAAAAAAAAACGGAGTTCTTCTTCCTCTGCTCCTTTTATTTATTTATTTTTGGCGATGGGGAGTGGCGGAGCTTAGCCTGCCTTTTATCCAGCTGTCAGTGCAGACAGGTTTCAGAACGTCATTTTGGGATTGTGGGAAGTTTATTGATAAGTTCATCACACGTACGAAAAGGAGCTGTGACGACGATGCGTCGTCAGCTCCTACCCCTAAGAAGTGTAAAATATGACATTAGCTATCTTCAGTTTGGCTTTACAGTGGCTGAGACAGATGCTGAGCTGCTGCCCCAGTGTGTCATATGCTCAGATCTGTTGGCAAATGACAGCATGAAGCCATGCAAGCTGAAGCGCCATTTAGAAACTAAAACACCCGACACTCAAAAGACAAACCCTTAGATTTTTTCAAATTAAAGTTATCTGGCCTTGAACAGCAGAAACGTAACATCAGCAAACACACATCAGTGTCCAACAGGTGTCTAGAAACGTCATACTACATCTCCAAACGAGTTGCTAAAGTAGGAAAACCTCACACAATTGCCGAGGCGCTAATCTTACCTGCTGCCAAAGATATTTGTCAGGTCATGTTTGGAGATCAGCAGATTAGTGACATCCCCCTTTCTAACGACACCGTTAGCCGCCGCATATCTGACATGGCAAGTGACGTTAAAGAGCAATTGCTAGCTAACATCATGCAAAGCCAGTACTATGCCCTACAGCTTGATGAGACAACTGATGTTGCAGGGCTAGCACAGTTGCTTACCTATGTCAGATATGTCAAAAATGGTTATATTGAGGAGGACATTCTTTTCTGTCGGTCTCTTCAAGATCACACAACTGGCAAGGCATTGTTTGAAGTTCTGGATGGATATATATGGGATGCAGGCATGTCATGGGATAAATGTGTTGGGATTTGCACGGACGGGGCCCGTTCAATGACTGGGAGGATTAGCGGTCTTGTCACTCGTGTCCAGAATTTAGCCCCTTTAGCCAAGTGGACCCACTGTATGATTCATCGTGAATCTCTCGCATCAAAACAAATGCCTGAGTCTCTTGAGGCCGTTTTAAAGCAGGCAGTGCAAATTATCAATTTCATTAAACACGGCCTTTAAATGCACGCTTGTTTTCCTTGCTTTGTCAGGAAATGTGAGCCGAATACGAGCAGCTCTTTTTTCACACTGAGGTTCGCTGGCTCTCCAGAGGTCGGGTTTTACATCGCCTCTACGAATTGCGTTCAGAGGTGAAGACATTTCTTGTTAATGTGAAGTCCGACCTTGCGCGGTACCTGGATGACCCCCTGTGGTTAGCGCAGTTGTCATACCTTGTAGACATTTTCGACAGGTTGAATTCGCTGAACACATCGATGCAAGGGAGAGATGCCAACATCTTGCTCCTTTCAGACAAAGTCAGTGCATTCGTTGGCAAACTGGATCTTTGGCGTGATCGGCTGATTAATAAAAATGTTGACATGTTTCCCAACTTCGCCGACTGTGTGCAAGAGACAGGGATAAATATCTCTCCTTTGATTAACACAGTCGCTCAACATGTTGAGGGACTAAAACAACAATTCGGCCGTTATTTCACTGAGGATTCAGTTCATTTGCTTGGGTCAGAGATCCCTTCAGTTGCCCAGGAAAAGACCTTCCAGTTGACATGGGGGAGCAGTTAGTCGAATTAAAGAGCGACAC